TGGTTCCTAGGTGGCTAAATAGAGTTTCGGATCCATCTGGTGATGAATTACACTGCTTTTGTGATGCAAGCAAAAGTGCTTATGGAGCTACAATTTATTTGATATCTGCCAGTTCAACATCTAGATCATCCCAGTTAGTGATAGCTAAAAGTCGCGTTTCTCCATTAAAACAATTGTCTCTTCCTAAACTGGAATTGATGGCTGCTGTTATCGGAACCAGAATGATTGCATCAATCCGTGACCAATTTCCTGAATCAAGAATCTTTATGTGGACTGATTCAACTATCACTTTGCATTGGATTCGTGGATCTCCCCGGAAATGGAAACGTTTTGTCTCAAACCGAGTCACCGAAATTCAACAAAGAAGCGATCCCAGTCAATGGAATCACTGTCCTGGCTCTGATAATCCTGCTGACAAGTTGACGAGAGAAGGAATCGAAGCCAGTGCCCTTGTGCAGGACGATGTATGGTGGCACGGGCCTCCGTGGCTTATCTGTTCCAGAAATGAATGGCCGGCTACTGATGATAGTCAGTTTTCACTGACTGACGATGTCCAAACTGAAATAATGACTGTTTCTTTTATTGCAGGTGCTGATCCAGATCCTGTGCTCAAAGTTGAGAACTTTAGTACTTTACGTAAATTATTGCATGTTACATCCTATATTTTCAGATTCATTAAGAATTTAAGGTCTTGTGTAAAACAAAATGGGACAATTACGAGTACTGAAGTAAGTGAATCAAATAATTATTGGATAAGAACTGTTCAATATAAATACTATTCGAATGAAATTAATTGTTTAAAAAATAATTTAGAAATCAATTCTAATTCTAAACTATTTCAGTTGAATCCCAAACTTGATGAAAATAAGATTCTGAGAATTAAAAGTCGTTTAGCTAATTCCTCATTAGATGTCAGTGAAAAGTGTCCAATAATATTACCTAATAATGATTATTTTGTTGCTTTAATTATTAAGGATTGTCATGAAAGGGTTTTGCATGCTGGTGTGAATGACACTTTATTGCTAATAAGAAGTAAATTTTGGATAGTGAAAGGAAGACAATTCGTGAAATCTGTTATATATCGATGTAAAATTTGTAGAAGATTTAGTGTTACTTCTGGTAAGCAAGTAACAGGTAATCTGCCTGTTGATAGAATCGAAAAATCTCCCCCATTTAATATAACAGGCATCGATTTTGCAGGACCCCTTTATTTAAGGGATGGTTCTAAGTGTTACATTGCATTGTTTACTTGTGCTGTGACTCGTGGGGTTCACTTAGAGTTAGTGTCTAGTTTAAAAGTTGAAAGTTTCATTCAGGCTCTAAGAAGGTTTTTTGGACGCAGGGGCATTTGTAAAATAATTTATTCAGATAATGCCAAAACTTTTAAAGCTGCTGATCGTGAAATTAAATATTTATTCAAATTGTGTAAAAATGACGAACTTCTACAATACTTAGAAAAACAAGGAATTGAGTGGAAGTTTATTGTCGAAGGTGCTCCATGGTGGGGTGGTTTTTGGGAGCGTTTGGTAAGATCGGTTAAAATTGCATTAAAACGAATATTACATAAATCTTTATTAACTTTTGAACAATTACTTACTGTACTTACAGAGATTGAAGCTGTTATTAACTCTCGACCAATAACTTATATGTATAACGATATTAATGAACCGGATCCTTTAAGTCCTTCGCATTTTTTGATAGGTAATCAATTAACCGTTTTACCATCCTCCAGTTCTAAATTAGAGTCTTCAAAAGCAGAATTAACAAAAAGATGGAAACATAGGCTTATGATGATAGAACATTTTTGGAAACGCTGGCAAAAGGAATATTTGCTAGAATTAAGATCTGCCATGATGCATAAAATGCCCAAAAATATTGTAAGTTTTAAAATTGGTGATGTTGTACTTGTACGCGAAGATAATGTTAAAAGATTAATGTGGAAGTTAGGTCGAATAAAAGATATTTTTCCTGGCAGAGATGGTAGAATAAGGTCATGCCAAATCCAATTAAAAAACAGTGTTGTAAATAGACCCATTGAGAGACTTTACTTATTAGAAAGTGATTGATTGCTTTGTTTATTCTTTGTTTGAAATATTCATTATATGTTGTATTTTTTTTGTAAGTGTATAACATTTGTATGGTTATTTGTAATAGAATGCATCGTTAAACCAATGCATTGGAGTGGGCTGGATGTAGAAAATTTATGTTTTGAACCAATAGATGGCGTTGCCTACTCTTTTGTTTTTGGCTATTCTAATGTTTACTTTTTGTTTTGTTGTTATTAAAGAATATGAATCCTAACCCCTCTGTCGCTTTTTTATAATTGTAAAGCCTTATCGTTACTGAAATACGTAGTTGTAAGAGTAATTGCAAGCTGAAAACAGTGCCAGCAAATACACAGAATATTAGAAAAAGTGAAAATACTGGTAGGAGAACAATTTCAATATTCGGGAGGAGTTAATCTATTCTGATCAATTAGCAATTCACTGAAATTAATTTTTTCTCGGCAAAGAAGCAATTTAATTTAAAAATTGCATTCGTTAAAAAGAATTGGTAGTCATGGATTTTTATTATTCCTGAAAAAAAGCTAAAAAAAGAAATTTATTGGTTACCAGTTTTTACACTTTTTCGTCTTGATGTATATCGGCTTTCAGCCCTGAGAAGGTGTAGTAATCTATCAGATCTGTACATAACTTTGTGCATTAAAACTCTCATCATCTTTAATTCTACCTTGACTCAGGGGACTTCCCCCGTACTCCATTCTCTCCTCCCTAGCCAAAAGTCTTAGTCGCACAAGAGCACACATTATGCGATGAAAAAGTCAGATGCCCGCTTTGCGAGCAGGCACTTTGTACAACTATATATCTAGTTAAGGCTCCTATACTATCAGAGCTGACCTATCAAGCAATATTGGAGCAAACAAGTTCGCAAGTTAACGTTATGTTAGTATTAGTTATGTTATTACAGAGATGCAACCTTCTCTGGACACGCCAACATAATTTAAAAAAACGGTAAATAACTACAAAGTATATTTTACAAATAGTTGACAATATTTGCTTGCTTTGGACTGGACTGGATAGGTGTTTTATCGAAGTACCTGCCCGCGAATGCGGGCACCTCACTTCTTCATCTATTTATTGGCCCTAGGGCGACTGTGACTAGTGGCTTTAGTCACAGTCGCCCTAGGGCGATATCGTAGAGTGAAAACTTCAAAACTAATTTTATAAAATTAAATTGAATGTTAACTTTAAGAAATTTTATAGTAAATTTCAGAAAACTTGCTGACTACTTTTTAATTTTTCTAATCTGTGAGTACCTAGTATTTTATAAAGTATCACAATGAATATGTTTCTATGAATGACCGAAATTGGTGGTTGGTGACTTCCACCGGTGAATGTTGACATTCACATAGTAATTTTGGTAAATTCCGAAATATATACTTGTTCTAATTAAATGTAGTATACCCTACACAGTTGTTTTTTTCTTTTTATTGTTTTTTTTTAAGGTTGATTACCGCTTCCTGGTATATATTTGCCAGGTACTCTGAACGCTGATGTTTCTCCTACTCTATCCTCAAAAGATAATAAAATATCGAATGAATGTAATAATATCAACGAATAAGTTAAAATCGATACGTATTTAACAAATATTTTGAAAATTCACCAAAGCGATTGTGTAATTGTTGATATTCACTGGTGAAAGTCGACATTCTCGTTATTTTGATCATTCACGGTAACAAATACTTTAACTCTGATGAGGTTAAAACTGAGTGTCCTTCACTTCAAAAAGGAAAAATATTTTTGCGGATCAGTTAAATCCCCCTTTCTTTTAATAGCTAATTCCTATTCCTCAATATTAGATTCGTTGTTGAAATTGCAACTTCAACATTTGATAACTTAAAAATCTTTAAAAATAATCAAATTCGGAATAAAGATCACGAAAATTTTTCCGATCTTTTCCTATCGGAAATTTTTCTAGTGGTGGTTTGTTTCGACGAGATTTCTGAAAAGCAATTCCTGAAATAATTGTGCTACCAGTTTTTCCTTCATCCTTCCTTCCAATATTTACTCATTTATGGAAAAAATTACTCGCTTTTTTTTACTTATTCTTTTGTTTTTTAATGAAAAAACTAAATTGCATCTATTCCTAGTTAGAAAGGAAAGCAACCGTCTTAAGTTTTATTTCTTCTATAAAATTAAATTTAAGCATTTTTAAAATACACGATTTCGAAAACGCATATAAGTTACAAAAATAATACATTTAACACGTTCACGCCGAGAAAATTGAAAATACTGGTACGGGTAAAGAGAAAATACTGGAAGAAGAACTATTTCAATATTAGATAATATTGGGGAGGAGTTAATCTACTTTCAACAATGACAATTCGCTGTAAGGAAATTTTACACGGCGAAGAAGCAATTCAATATAAAAATTGCATCCGTTAAAAATATTTGGTAGTTATGGATTTTTATTATTCCCGGAAAAAAACTAAAAAATGAAATTTACTGTTACCAGTTTTTACTCCGGTGCGCTGCCAAGATGAGACAATCTAGCGTAACCCACCGGTGGGTCACCCCGGCGTGAACGTGTTAATATGGCAAGACGAAATTGATATATAAAGAGAAAATAAATTTTTTATTTGAGGAAAGAAAGATTGCCACTTTCTATTTAATTTTTCAATTTCTGTTCACATTTACATCACTGGGTCGAGTGACTGGTTTACGCACCGAATAACTTTAATCTTGCTACCACTTTTAATTAAATTCATTACTCTAAGGTCAAATATACTTAGATCACAAACATTTTAACAACCGGTTGACAACCGTAAAACTATTTATCTATCGTGGTAGTCACTCACATTTTGTCTCAACGAGATTCCTGAAATAATTGTGGTCAAATACAAATACCTATTTTTACCAATACCAAACACCATCATCTGTAGCAGCAGAAAACCTCCACACGGATTTTTAAAAGTAATCTGCGCAGACTATCAAAAAAGTGAACCAGTTGTGGGCATGCACGAAAATTCTTTTTTAAAAGTAATTGATGGAAATATATGATATTTCAGAATTGAATATGTAGTGGTCTAAAAGTAAATAAAACAAATCACTGGTATTCATCAATTAGACAAATTTTTAGGCATATAATTGCTAACACTTTCTTAATTTTCTAGATTTTCTATTAAATGGCTCTTTTGTAAAAGGATTTACCTACATAGTGGTCTGATCGGATTACCTATGTGGAGCCTATCAGTTACAGAAGTGTTACAAAAACTGGTGACATTTCATTTTTTCATGCCAAATATTCATTACTCTTTGTAGATCCTTTCCCCTTAAATTGTCCATAATATAAAGAAATTTGAGTTCATAACATATTTTTACACGCAAAATCAAATACAATAAAACAATTTGTATGTTTCCTTAGAAAAAGAGCTTTTCTTGTCAAAATGAAAATATTTCCCAACGCTTACAGTTAAACATATTTTAATATGTTTTTTTTCTGACAACTTTCTACAGTTTGAACATCCAATAAATGTCTTAAAAAATTTTAGATAATGATCCCCTTCCTTTTTTTTCTTCTTAACAAACTGTACATTAAAATGTCTAAGAATCATTTAATACTTCTCAAGAAATATCAAAAATTGAAATATTTGTTTAAAACAAGATTTGAAAATTGATATTGTCCTCCAATGTCCGTTATAATTTGCATAAAGAAGTCAATTGAAATAAAACTGCTACCACTTTATAAAATGAAATACAAAGTATCACTAATTACTAAATTTTTCATTATCTGATTTACCATCGAAATGAAGAGATATTAAATGAAGTATTTGCTGTGCTGGCTAAAAACAATGCGAGCAAATTCGATGTATATAAAAGAAGTATTTTTGTAATATGGGAAGAATTCCGCCGTTCATGAAAAGACTTGGCAGTAATAAGTCATTAAAGTCCGGAAATGCTCCCTTCTCTGCCTTGTTTAAATCAAAATGTTCACATTTCTGTCATGTAGAAAGTGTTATTATGGAAAAGAAATAATAGTGAATATATTTGAGTAATAAATAAACTTTAACCATGTTAGCTACATTAAATTATTTATAATTTGATGTATACAGATCCAAAAGAAGCAGCTAAATTTTGAAAAATATATGTACTTTGAAATATTCATTATTATTAAAAATATTTTTTGTTTCGTCGATAGCGTGGTGTGAAAACTTCAAAGCTGATTTTATAAAATCAAATTGAAAGTTAACTTTAAATAATTTTCAGAAAAGTAAGTGACCACGCTTTAATTTTTCTTGATTGTGAGTATTCTTTAATAACTAATTCCTATTCCTCAATATTAAATCCGTTGTAGAAACTGTAACTTAACGATTTCGTAGCTCAAAAATCCTTGAAAATTATCAAAATTGGAATAAAGGTCACGAAAATTTCCGTGACTGGTAAAACTATTTATCCATCGTGATGGTCACTCGCATTTTGTTTCATTGAGATAAAAGCAATTCCAGACATAATTGTGCTACCGGGTTTTTTATACAATCCATCCTTGAAATTTTTTTTCATATCTGTAATAACTTGTTAATTTATATTTACTTATTCATATATTTTTTGAATGAAAAAACTAAATCGTATCTATTCCTCTATCGATTCCTCAACGATATCTCGCAAGAGTCTAACGACTAATTTCTCTCTTTAAAATCACATTTGAGTTTAGGCATTTCTAAATTGTACAAGTTCAATGGCAAAAAAGCCTATAAGTTCCAGAAATAATACATTTAATATGGCAAGACAAAATTCATAGGTAAAGAGGAAAGTAAAATCTTACTCTATTTAATTTGTTAATTTCTGTTCAGGCTAACATCCCCGGGCTGATGGATTGGATTACGCCATGAATAACTTTAATCTTGCTTTCACTTTATAAATATTTAATTAATTTATGGACAAATTTACTTGTCCTAGATTGCAAGTACACGCAACGATGAGATCACAATTATAATCAATGGATACCTAAGAAAATCTTTCCACCACTTTTTCTTTTACTTTTTAAATTTGGGAAAACATTTACTTCTGTAGGAATAGTTATTTGAAGTGGGTTATCAAAATTTTCATTCTCCCGTTGATTCCGACAGTGAAGTCTTGAAGGATGATGCTCTACTGATGTCCTCTTCTCCCTCGTGATGCCGGTTATTTCGAATTGATGCTGATTATCCTGAACTTTACGAGGTGAGTGATACTTATTTTGATCTCGTCAGATTCTGGAGTCGGGAGAGATAGTACTGTCAACTAGTCATTTTTGATGTCTGGATTTTGAGCCCGCCATTTTGTTTTTTTTTCAAGTCATGCCGTATCATAAAACAGCTCGTGGTGGAAAGGTCTCACTCTCTGGTCGTAATTCACCGTCGCATTGCAAAGAATCCACGTCATTAGAAGAAATCATTGCTATCTGTGGGATATCAAAAAAATACTTTCCACCAGTTGAACACGAACATATTGACGATCTCGTAGAGTTTTACACTCAGTTTGATACAGAGGAGCTGATTGGTTTAGATAAATTACTTAGCAAACTGCTCATTCAAATAAGATCAAGTTACTCTGGAGACTATGAATACTCCTACTTCCTAAAACTGACAAATGCAGCTTATCACGTCAGGTGGAAGAGGAAAAACTTTCAAGCGGAAGAAAACAAGGAGATGAATAAAAACTCCATTCAACTCGAATCAATAATGACTGAAATTAATCCAAGCACTGAAGACATAACCATGGAAAATAAAGATGAAAACCTGAATACAACACCGAATACAGAAACAGACACGGACATCAATATTAACAATAGCACAGAACCACCTGCAAAGAAAAGAAAAAAGAAGAAGAAAAAGCAAAATGCAATCAAAACAATTGAAGATAATTCTACACTCATATCTGCAAACAGCTGTCCTTCTTCTAGCCAACATAATTCAACAGATGACGTCACTATCTTGCCGACAACAAAACCTAAGGAGGATACCGACAAAGTACGGGATCCGCCCAGCAAACCTGAAATAACACTGCAAGCCAGATATATTAAGGTTTTGGTCCGGGGCCTGCCTGTGGACTTTGATACAGATGCCATCAATACAGAATTACAGAAAAACAGTATTGAAACCTTTAAAATTGTGCAGTTTAAGAAAAGAATGGGAGAGGCCTGTCGGCTCCTTCCACTTTTTCTCATAATCCTAACATCAACGGCGAATCACCAAAGAATATTCGAAGTCAACAACATACAGCAGATCCCGATCAAAATCGAACGATTTCGAGGAGGTCGAGGACCTATACAATGTTACAACTGCCAAAATTATGGACATACACAAAGCCACTGCAATGCACCTGCAAGGTGTGTAAAATGTGCTGAAAACCACAGGTCACATGAATGCAACAAAGACAGAACAACACCTCCAAAATGCTGTAATTGTTACAAAAGCCACACAGCCAACTATACTGGGTGCGAGACCCGCCCCAGCAGAAGGAGCCCTCGAGCAACATCAAATTTGACGCCTAAACTTGCTCACCGATTAGTGTCATTAATCAAAGAATTACAGGAATTGCTCAAAAATGAAGAAGTGCTCCGCCTTCTGCGGGGGATCATCGGAGAAACATCTCAATCGCAGTGAGTTCCATTTTTATTTTCAAGACTCTAAAGTTAAATTCACTGAACTTTTCACTACAGACTTTTACTTAAGTTAAATTAAATTACATTATTTTCTGATAATATAGCCAATTTATGCATACATATTTATTAACTTATGCACGTTAAATTCTTTTGCAAATTCTATTGTATTTAAAGAGCAATATTTCTCTGATAAAATATATTTACTGCATTTTCTCCAAATATGTTATTTTATTATATATCAAGGCATGATTTATCTATTATCATCAATTATGCCTTTCATTTTTCAAAAATCAATTATTGTACATATCAAATCATATTTTATCTTTATTTTTAATTTAAGTCTACCATCAATATTTCTAGTGTTATGTAAAAACGCCAATTTGTCATATTGAATTTTTTCATTGTTTTATTATTTCACAAGTAAACGGCTTGATTTTTTTATGGCTACCACAAATCATTAAAGCATGCTAGATGGCGCCACTAAGGCTTTGCAAAATTTATGTAGAATCTTCATGATTTTGAATCCCGATTTTCTGTATATATGCTATCATCAATTTTTAATGCTCAATTCCAAATTTCTACTGCAATTAATGTAAATATCACACATTAAGCTCGTATTTCATGTATATCCATCTAATCATGGCTGTATTCATTTTTCAGTGGCAATTAATGTAAATCTCCGATCAAGTTTGTACATACTTCTAATCATGGTTACTTTATTATAATGTTACCACATTGTTACATAATTCAAAATGTTTTATTCACTGTATATAATTTTCATGATGAATGGGGTAGGAGCCGCTGCGCGGCCTAGGCACCCAGTTTTGTTTAAATAAAGAAAGAAAGAAAGGAATAGTTATTTAACGCATTGAGTTATATTAGTTTAAGGCAACACGATTACCAAGTGATGCTTTGCGTAAATCGTTTACACGAATGCCAAAAACTGGCAACATTCCATTTTTTATGCCAAATATTTAACATTTTTCCTTCAGATTCATTTCTCTTTGTAGACACTATCCCTTTCAAATTGTCATAATGTTATGAAACTCTATTCCATAAGATAGTTTTACACGCTCATTCGAAAATAAAAAAATTTATATGTTTCTTAAAAAAAGGAGAGCTTTATTTGGTCAAGATAAATATATTTTGCTACTGTTACGGTTAAAAATATTTCAAGAGGGAATTTCTATGCGACATTTGGCTCCTTGAGAAAACACTTTACAGTTTGAACATCGATTAAATGGCTTATAAGTATTAAAAAAAGATCCCCCCCTTTTTTTTCTTTTTTTTTAAACAAACTGCACGTTAAAATGCATAAGAATCATTTACTACTTGTCACGAAATATCAAGAATTAAAATATTTCTCTAAAACAAAATTTGATAATATCCTCCAGTTTTTACATAGTGTATAATTTGCATAAAGAAGTACTTTGAATTAAAACTGCTACCACTTTATAAAATGAATTAAAAAGTATAACTATTGTAAGTCTAATGATTTGTACCTTTTTCGCATTTTCCAAACATTTTTATCGAAGTATTTGCTGGCCGTGGGCAAGCGCGATATATTTTGTTCCAAAGAAAAGTGGAGAAATGCGTCGTTTAAATGCCAAAACTATTCCTGATATATATATCCGATACATATCCAGGATTTTTCACGTAATTTAAATGGCAAAATTCTATTTTTTAAATTAGCTTTAGTAAAATCATATAACCAAATAAGAGTTGAAACTTCCGATGCACCTAAAACAGCAGTTATGACACCAATTGGACTTATTGAATATATATTTATGCCTTTCGGTTTAAGAAATGCTGCACAAAAAATTTCAACGTCTTATTGATAATGCTTTAAGAGATATAGATTGCTGTATAGCATATTTGGATGATATTTTCATTTTCTCTGAAACCGAAGAAAAGCATAAATCTGATTTAGATAAAGTTCTTAAACGATTTCAGTTGAATAATTAACGTAGAAAAATGTCTTTTTGGTGTTGATAAAGTTAATCTTTTGGGATATTTATTTTCAAAAAATGATATTCAGCCTATACATGAAAAAGTAAAAGCTTTAAGAGACTCTCCTTAACCTAAATTTGTAGAACAATTACGCAGACTTTTAGCTATGGTAAATTTCTATCGCAGATTTTTTAAAAATGCAGCTAAAATCAAATCTTGTTTACACGATTTAACTAAGGGTAAAGCTAAAAAAGATGAAACACCTCTAGTTTGGACTGATAGGGAAATTTCTGCTTTTGGGGCAGTTAAAGATGCGATTGCAAATGCTGTTTTGCTAGCACATCCCTTACCAAATGCAAATTTATCTCTTGCTGTAGATTCTTCAGATTTTGCTATCGGTGCAGGTTTGCAACAAAAAGTAAACAATGAATTACAGCCTCTGAGTTTTTATTCTCGCAAACTTAATGCTGCAGAGCAAAAATACAGCACTTATAATAGGGATTGCTTGCAATTTATTCAGTAATCAAGCATTTTCGGCACATGCTTGAAGGTCGAAATTTTCTAGTGTACGCTGATCACAAGCCTCTCATTTACGCATTTCAACAAAAGAGTGAGAAATGCTCTCCAAGACAAAAGCGACATATAGAGTTTATTAGTCAGTGCACTACAGATTTACGACATATTCCCGGTAGTCAAAATATAGTTACTGACACTTTTTCGAGAATTTCTTCTCTTAGTTTTAATAATTCAAGTGATATTAATTTCGAAGAGATAGCAGAGGCACAGGTTAATGACACGGAACTTCACTCTTTACTTGACTCTAATTCCGATCTCGAACTAAACCCTATGAATCTCCCAAATTCAAAAACAATTTTTTGTGATGTTTCTACTGGTGATATAAGACCATACATTCCTAAAGACTTTCGTTGGAGTATTTTTCAGACTTTTCATGGTTTATCTCATCCCGGAGGAAGAGTAACTTTAGACCTCATCAAGAAGAGATTCGTATGGAAATCCATGACCAAAGACATAAAGCTTTGGTGCAAGACTTGCCTCTCATGCCAAAAATCTAAAGTTGGACGCCACACGAAATCCCCTCTAGGAGAATATGGACTTCCTAGTGCCAGATTTTCGCATGTTCATATAGACATCGTGGGTCCTCTACCACCGTCAAGAGATTACAGGTACCTACTTACATGTATTGACCGTTTTTCTAGGTGGCCTGAGGCATTTCCAATGCAGAATCAGACAGCTGACACAGTTGCAGAAACGTTCTTTGCTGGTTGGATAGCCAGA